GAGTGCTGGGGACAAAGGGATGAACAGAGACCATCCTGACCCTCGTGAAGGGGGGAAACATTACGCGCTTAAACAAATAAATTAGATGAACACATATCTAATTATCCTTTTTCTTTTCCTTCAATTATTTTTGTAGCTCCCCCCTTTTCCCTACTAAACCTGTAGGGTCCCCCAAGTTGACAAGGGAGGACATGTGCTGCGCAGGGGCCTGTACTGTCTGAGTCAGGGGCACGCCTCTCAGTCCCTGCTTCTCCTTTTCTCATTTGGGTCCACACATGAGCCTGACCACACTTGATAAGGACACGGGGCAGGGACCATTGTCCCCTGTACAGATGGGAAAGCTGAGACAGAAACATCAGAAAGCCTTGCCCACGGTCACACAGGGCATTACTGGGGTAGCCGATACCGAGCACTTACTCTATGCAGGCAGTTTAAAAACTCCCTGCCTTCTAACAACCCAGTAAGGCAGGTATTCGTACCCCCACTTTACCGGCCGCAAAATTGAGGCTGAAAGAAGTTATTTAACAAGCCAGTGATGACCCAGATAGAATGTGGTAAAGCTGGGATTTGAACCAGATCTGCCTGGCTCCAAAGCCTGAGCTCTTTCCAAGAAATGGATGTGGTCACAGGAAAGAGTGAAAGACTCTGAGTTGCTGAAACTTGGAGATGTGGCATCCAAGTGTTCTTCAAACTCTCCCAGTCCCGGCATCTTATTTACTTATTTTTCTACTGCAGTTCTTGGCACAGTAGACTCATGAAACCTGGTGAGTTGATCACACTAATCAACATAGTTAACTCTGTTACCTATCCATCTGTCTGAGATGATCTTCCTTTCAAGCTTTTATTAGATAATTAAGTCAAGTAGCTCTTCCCTGGGAGAATCCCCACCACTCTTAGGTTTTTGTTTTCTTTTGTTCTCAACACTCACTGAGTGTTGTGGGAGGCTTGGTGAGCATAGGGATGATGGCCAATTTCCGCCCTGGAGGAATTCCCAGCCTATAGAGAAGGTTACTGAAGGGCCTTCTATGGGAAGAGCACAGTGACAGGCCATGGAGAGGGAAGGAGGAAGACCACAAAGGCCTGCCCTCAGATCTCCTCCTCTGAGCAGAAGTGGATGTGGCTAGTGTGGGCTGGGGTGGGAGCAGCTCACCTTAAGTTTCCTGATCAGAACACATTTGACCTGTGGTGCTATTCTTAAATCCCATTTTGCTTTGGTCAGTGTGGGACCCTGTGTCCCAGGCCTGACAGGCTGCAGCTTTGAAGGAGGCCTTTAAAATGGGAGAAGGTGCTGGAAAGTACAGATGCATGAAGAAGGAAGCTAAATTCATCCCTCCTCTCAGCACCCAGCAATTGCTGTGTTTAACGCTTCACTTTTTACCACCAGAGACTTGTTTAATCAAGAGGATTAGTTGCTTTTCCCCCAAGGAGGAAGAGAGAATGCATGAGAAAGAAAGAGAGAGAGAGAGAGTCAGAGACTCTGAAGACAGAGACACACACAGGACTGAAAAGAAGCAAGAACCTGCATCCTCTGGTTTGTGGCTCCAGTAAGCAGCAGGAAAGTATTTTAAACTAGGCACCAGACTGGGAGAAATACTGCCCCTTCCCTCCCTTGCTACACGATTCTGGCTACAGCATTGCTAATTTCCAGATAGTACCATTTTCAGATGTGGGAGCATTGGAAATGTCAATAATATGTCCATTACCTTGGCCACTGCTTTGTCCCTGTCACCCACCACTACCCTTGAACGACTGAGAGTTGACTGTAAATGAATAATATCCTAAAGCCACAACTAAAATAAGCATTACAAGACTTTAAGTATGCATATATTTGACCTAGCATTCCCACATCTAGGAATTCATCCTAAGGAAATAATTAAGGACATGGGTGAAGAATTTAGCATGAGATTGTTCATTGTACCATTTTTAGGAAAGCAAGCAAACAAAAGAGAAACTAAACAGCCAACCCCTAGTGGGGAGCTAATGGGTAAACAACGGTATAACCTTATAATAGCTTTCCACACTGCTTTTAAAATTAGGTTATCAATGGATATTTACATTCCCACATCTAGGAATTCATCCTAAGGAAATAATTAAGGACATGGGTGAAGAATTTAGCACGAGATTGTTCATTGTACCATTTTTAGGAAAGCAAGCAAACAAAAGAGAAACTAAATAGCCAACCCCTAGTGGGGAGCTAATGGGTAAACAACGGTATAACCTTATAATAGCTTTCCACACTGCTTTTAAAATTAGGTTATCAATGGATATTTATTGACCTGGAAATACATTCACAATATATTAGGTGAAAAAAGCAAGTTAAAAAGTGTACTAGTATGACCCCATATAAGTAAGAATAAACATAACATGTATGGTCTAGGAAGACATAGACCAAATGTTAATTTCTGGGTGGAAGGATTCCAAGACATTTTAATTTATTTTCTTTTTGCTTATCTGCATTTTTAAAAATTATTTTTCCCACAATGAGCATGTAGGAGGGGTACTCAGAAAGTTTATGGAAGGATTTGTATTATCTTTTAATTCTATTTTTCTACAAACTTTTTGAATAGAAGGAACAAATTGCCTTCCACCCATCCCAGCAGTGCCTCCTGCTGGGAGTCCAGGAGTGTAGGGCAAGGTGAATCAGGTGCTCCTGGCTGCAAGGCATTGCGGGAAAACCATTGACCCTGTGGGGCATTAAGCTGCTCATTAAGCACTCCAAAAACAGCGTGTCCCACCCTGGTTTGACTCTCCATTCTGACTGATCTTACAGGAGAGACCTCAGTGACCCTGCACTTTGGTATCTAAATGCTCAGTAGCATCGTAACCTGCTAGTGGGTTGGCTGAGGGAAAACACTACGTGTGTTCTTGTGTAGTAAAGCTAACCTCACTAGAACTGCAGGGCCTTCCCACCTCCCAGGAGCACCCTCCCCTGTAAGGGAGTGATAGCTAAGATGCTCTGTTGCTGAGGTTGGTCCCTACTACACATATGCAGGTGTAATTCTGAATGCTGGCAAGAAAAGGCTGTCACCATGGCAACCCAGGCTCACTCAGCCTCTTTATCCCTGGGATCAGTCCAACACCCAGGAAAGAAGGTGAGGGATGGAGTCAGAAAAATCACTGCCTGGCTGTCTGAACTTGGGCAAGACACTTAGCTTTTCTCTGCCTCAGTTTCCATATCTGTAAAATGGTGCTGAAGCTTATCTTGCCTACCTCTAGGATTGGTGTTGAATAATCTGTGAACTGTAAAACATGAGGGGATTAGAACATCCCTACTTTTGGTTTGTCCCCAAATTGCCCCCAAATTGTGTGTGACTTTGGGCAAATCATTTAGCTTCTTTGGGTAGCAGCTCTATTTATATAAGAGAGTAAGGCACACTGTGATTACTTCTCAGATATATTGCAAGGCGCCTTAGAAAATCCCAGAATCTCAAAGTCGGAAGAAATCTTAGTCCTTTTCACCCATGCTGGAAGCCTATTAGTTAGCTCCCTGACAGAGGTACCTGTCCAGCCTCTGCTTGGTTACCTCGGTGGCAGAGAGCTCACGACTGCACAACTTCCCAGGGATCCCTTGCTACATGACACTAACTGTAAGAAAACTCTTCCGTATAGGGTGTTCTACAATTAAATATTTGTTTAAAAAATTTAGCAATCCTTTTCAGAGCTATTTCCACTCCTGATTTCCCAGAGGGCTTGCACATGGTAGAAATTAGCAGCAGTCAGCAAGAAGCAGGTGCAGGCTCTGGAAGCATTGGGCTTAGTGTAGTAGAAGGAACCTGGGTTCTGGGTCACACGCCCTAGGTTAAAATCCCACTTGGGGGCCGGCCCGGTGGCGCACTGCTACAGTGCGCCGCTTGGGAAGCATGGCAGCGCTCCCGCCGAGGGTTCGGATCCCACATACAGACCGGTTCCCGCTCACTGGCTGAGCGAGGAGCGGGGGCAACACCGAGGGTTGCAATCCCGTAGCCGGTCCCGGTCCGGTACGGGCGCGACACTGAGGGTTGCGATCTGTTGCCGGTCACGAAAAAAAAAAAAAATCCCACTTGGTCCACTTACTAACTGGTTGACCCTGGGCAAGTTATACTACCTCTCTGAGCCTCAGTTTCCTGATCAGTAAAGTGAAGATAGAAATACCGGCCTCACAGTACTGCTGTGAACATTGAGCACGATGGCACTTCTTACGGGGTGGGGAGTGAATCGGTGGCAGGCACGGACACATCCCCCACCCACCCTGTGTCCCCCAGGTTTGTTAGCACCCACCTCTTCAAGAGCTGCCCCCTCACACCCACCCCCCATTCTGACTTCATCTCCTACTGCTGCCTTTTCCTCTCCCCACCTCCCGCCGCCTCCCACACCTACAACGCCACCTATCCCAAGCTGCCCAAAAACCAGGCCTCTGGGCCTTTTCAGCTGCTGTGCCTCTACCTGGGATCCTTCCCTTCCCACCCGCTTCACAGGCTGGACCTAACTCCAGTCACTCCTGCCAGGGAACTTGCCATCATCACTTTCTGCCCTGCCCTGATTTGCACCCCTACTTTGGGGCCACATTGCCCATGCTCACCTCCATCAAAGCACCTGTCACCTCACTGTACTGTCACCTACTTGCTTACTCCCCATCTTCGAGCATCCCCAAGGGTGGGCATCTCACCTTCCTTTGATTCTAGGGCCTGGCCCAGGAGAGACACATTAGTGGTTGTGGAATCCCATTAGATTCATGGAAATTTGGTGTCAGAAGGGACCCTGGAGATGTTGAGGCCACCCTCCCCCTTTAAAGCTGGGACGTTAGGCCCAGACTGACCGAGTAGGTTACCAAGGACCCAACTTGGGGGTCCTTGATTCTAGGGCCAGGCCAGGAATTGAGCTTGAGGCTCTGCTTCCCCAGGCAGTGCCTTCACCTTGGGCTTAAGGAAGTCCAGGCTGGTGGTGGGTGCCCGGGGCCTCCAAGAGACCCCTCCACACACAGCCCCCAGGCCTGTGGCATCTCAGCTCTGTTCCCTCCCCAGGCCCTGTACTGCAGCTGCTTCGTGCCTGTGTACTGTGGCCTCATCCCCCCGACTTACCGCGGCGAGGTGAGTGCTCCCACCTGGTGAGGGGGCGAGCCTGGATCCAGGGGCACCTTGGGGTCCCTATGACCCACACCTGGGAGAGCAGAGGGTGATCTCAGAATGCAGTGGGAGGACCTAGAGCTGGAAAGTCTCTCATGCTTTTCTACTCCGAATTCCCAGGGTAGGTGGATTTCTGGGGCTTTAAAATGAGCTTCCCCAGCTGGGTTGTGTTTCTTGCTGGACCTACCAACCCATTACTGAGCCCAGCAAATGAAGGCTCCACAGCTTGTTGGGACCTGGAACCTTGAATGATGGGCATCTTCAAGGCCACCTAGGCCAGTGCCTCACAAACTTTCAAGTGCCCATGAACCACTCGGGGATCTCATAAAATAATGCAAATTCTGATCCTGTAGGTCTGGGGCAAGGCCTGAGATTCTGCACCTCTCACCAGCTTCTGGTGATGCTGGTGCTGCTGGTCCATGGGCCACATTCTGAGTAGTGATGGTCCGACCCACGCCCACTCCTCATTTTATATACAGAGAAAATAAGGTCCAGAGATTAGGACTCAAGTAACAGATGGAGCTCGCGTTGCCTGTGAGCCTGGTAACTCGCAGGCACCCCCAAGAGTGAGAGCCGTCGTTCACAGGCAAGGCAACAGAAGCCCGAGAAGGGAAGGGGCTCGAGGGTGGCACGAGGTGAGGCTGTGGCAGGGAGCATGGTCTCTTGCTTTGTCCAGAGTATGGGTACCCCGTCCAGAGGCCTGAGAGCCCCAGTCTCAGCATCATAAGATGGCTGAGGGGGATAGTGCAGGGACAGAGCTCTGTGCTGGGGGTCCAGAGGCCACCATGGGCTCACCAAGTGCCCCTGGGCACACTGCTCACCACCAGAACCTTGGTCTCAAGGCTTGTCCCCAAGGGTCTCTGGCCCTGCTGTCCCATGGACCCATTTCCCTGATATGCTCCCTGAGTGGGTGTGGGACCCTGACCCCAGATGAGCACCGCTCACTCCGCCCCCTGCAGAGGTACATCGATGGGGCCTTCACGGGCATGCAGCCCTGCTCCTTCTGGACGGACTCCATCACCATCTCCACCTTCAGCGGGCAGCAGGACATCTGTCCCCGGGACTGCCCCGCCATCTTCCACGACTTCCGCATATTCAACTGCTCCTTCCAGTTCTCCCTGGAGAACATCGCCAGGATGACCCACGCACTGTTCCCCCCAGACCTGATGGTGAGAGGCAAGGGGAGGGGACACAGGGAATAGAGGCAGAATCGGGAGCCAGTGGGGCCCACTCTAGTTCCATCTGTGTCTCCTCCGCTCAACTAGTCTTCCTAGACCTCGCTGCTGACTAGCGATGTGACCATGAATGAGTCCCCTAAGCTCTCCCAGCCTCAGTGTTGTCCCCTGTAAACTGAGGCGATGTCAGACCGCTGGTAGGAATGTTGACTGAACTCTCCCACTGACACGCAGTGCACCAAAGCAAGGTCAGCAGATGGTGACCACGGGCCCAAGCCACCTGTGGCCTGTTTGGGGGTAGCTTGTGAACCAAGAATGGCTTTTCCATATTTATTTATTTATTTATTTAAAAGATGACCGGTAAGGGGATCTTAACCCTTGACTTGGTGTCATCAGCACCACGCTCTCCCAAGTGAGTCAGGGGCTGGCCCTGGTTTTCCATTTTTAAAGGGTTGCAAAAAGAAAGGAAGAAGAACATACAGCAGAGACTGTATGTGGCCATCAAAGCCCAAAATATTTGCTGCCTGGCCCTTCACAGAAAAGGCCTCACGGGCAATGTCTCCTGTCACCCTCCGGCATCCTTTCCCATAGACACTGCTGCTATCCCCAGTTTACAGATGAAGAAATCGAAGCTGTCAGAGGTTACAGCTGATCAGGAGTAGCCCTGGGATTTGAACCCAGACTCCAAACTCTGCTCTTCATATGGCCCACATGTGCCTTCTCTGGTCTCCTCCATAAACGTGTCACCCTCTCCCACCCGGGGGAGGCTGTGATCAGCTGTGAATGGTGTAACACATTAACGCAGCACCCCTGCGACACATGATCAGAAACTGCTCCCAATTCTTCTCAGCAGACAGTGAGGGATGGGACACTGGATGGGTATGTTTTGAAAAGCCCCCCAAACAAAGTTCAGGAACAATGAAGGTAGCTGCCCTGGGTGAGGCGACTGTAGGCCTCCCCCTCGCCTCAGCCTTCATGATTTTCCTGGTGTCCCCCAGGCCCTGCACGATTACTACTACCGAGGGTACGACGACACAGTTCTGTACTTGAGGCGGCTCAGTAAGTACCCTGTGGGGCCCAGGGAAGCGGGGGCTTGGAGGGTGGGGCAAGGACGGGAAGTAGAAGGGCTGGGTAGAGGGGCATTCCCCCCAAATTGGTGACCTGGAGATGCCCTTCACCCAGGAAATGGGGGTGGGGACCCAGCAACCTGCAGTGTCCACGACAGGTCACTGTGACCAGAAATTAGGATGTCTGTGGAAAAGGAGCTTGGGGTTAGCTAATGGGTCAGTGTCTAGGGCATTTGTACACATATATTTATGAATTTAAAAACTTATATTTAGGAAATGCATAGTTCAAATCTCCCTGGAGAATTCCATTTTCATGCCATTTCATTCTCTTCTATTTTATTCTCTTTCCTTATGGAAAGAATAATTCTTTCCATAGAATTATTAATGTAGAACTAAATGTGACTAGTTTATGTTTGTGTAAGACTTTGAGTGACATATCAATCAACAAATCAGAGAGAAGAGCTCCTGCCCTATGCTTGTTTGGAAAGGCAGTCCCTGCCCCTGAGTGTCTTCTGTGTAGTATCAGGCAAAGGAAGCTTCCAGTGGCCTGTATGATGTGCTCTAACTCCATAAAGGCCTTGGCAAACATCTTTGTAAAAAGAAATGAAAAAAAGCTTCCCCATATTTAGAATTAATTCTTTAGAACATGTTTTTGGAAAAGGGGATTATTAGATCAAAGGGTGTTCACCTAACAATATATCAGAAGCTTTCTTCCAGGTTGCCACATGGTCTTTGTGACTGTCTTTTTTTGGCAGCTGTATAATATCCCATCCCAGGTGCACAGAGAACTTTGCTTGATCATCCTTTTAAATGCCCCAGTGCTCACTACTATAAGTAATGCTGTGCGGAACTTTTTGTGTATGTAGCTTTAAAAAATATTTGGGGGTGAGATTAAGGGGTTGAATGAGATTTTCTTCGTAAGATATGTTCAATCTTCTCCTTCTCCTCCTTCTTCTAAATTGCTTCCGGCCTTCCCAAGCTCCCCTTGTCCTGTCTCTGTCTTTTTACTTTTTTCTGGGCCCTGGGGGAGGGGGTCAGGAGAGCAGGACAGAGAGAACGTGGGCTCTGGAGACAAGTAGCCCTGCACCCCCGCGCCCCCACAAGCTGTGTGACCTTGGGAAAATCATTTCCCCTGAGTCGTGGTTTTCTAATCTATTAAAAAAGGGTTTAGATCTTGATTCCTGACACCTACAGACTACATGGTCTTGAGCCAGCAATTAATTGCCTGGGGCCTCAATTTCCTCATCTGTAAGGGAGCTAACCATGGAGCTTAACTCAAAGTTTAATTCTAAGGATTAAAAGAGCAAAGCCATGCAAAGCCCTTAGCACAATGCTCAGATAAATGGTAGCTGTATTGAGAATATCAGAGTGTCCTAGCCATGGCCAATCCAGCCCACCACCCCCTCTGACCTTGGAGACAGGCCCCTCCTCTCATCTATCTGCAGGACAGACTCCTCCTAACCCTGACTGTCCTCTAAAAATTCCCCCATGCTCCACATTTACACAGGTGACAGCTGTGAAAACTGAGCCCCAGGTGTCCAAAAGGCAGATGACCTGAGGGGTATTGGTAGTGGGTGGTGACGGGCCTCACCTGCAGAGCCTTGAGAACAGGAGGGGCTGGCTAGGGCCTGAGGTCCTTTCAGCCACCAGCTGGGCAGCCCCTCCACTCTTTCCTCAGTGGTGGTGTGTGTTGGTGACTTGGGAATTGGAAGATCCCCTGATCTTGATCCAAGTCCTGATTCGGGACTGGGATCTTGGAGCAGACTCCAGTTCCCAGCCCCAGGAGACCCCTCCATACCTCTGGTTACAGCCTGGCTACCTGGCTACCTCCACACCTGTCCCACCTGTTTCTCCCCTAGAATTTTGTCTTCTCTCCTCCTCTCCGCGCAAGTCCTGGAGAGAGTTCCAAAGTGGACATCAGAGGGGGACATCAGGCCCCCCTCTGTCTCAGTATCCCTTCTTCCACCTTCTGGGAGGAATCCTGGGCCCTGTCACCCTTCCCTCACCTTCTACCCTTAGCTGGTGTGGACATTTTCACAGGTGTGATTGGCAGTTTTAAGCCAAAGGATGAAAACTAGTGGTGGCATTTCAGGAAATTGAGGCAGAATATGGAGGATGGCAGGTTTTCCCAATGGCTCTGGAATCATTCCAAGTAGGGACAGAAACAATTCAGAAGGAAGAAAATGTCTCGTGCTGGCTGCCAGCTTTTACTTCCTCTTCCAATTTGCCAGTGTATGCCTGACCCTCTCAGTGCAGGTTTCACCTCCACCATCCAAATCCTCTCAGATTTGTTTTTTTTTATACACTCTCCCTGCGCCAGATGTGAACAGGAACTACTGACACATCCTGAGAAATTGTGGTTGGTGCCCAGAGCCACTATCTTAATCCCACCTGTCATCTGGGAGAAGAAAATGGGAGCCCTTCCACCCCAGCCTCCACCTGATTGCTTTCTGAGTGGGGGTCATCTCTGGCAGGAAGTGACACCCCAAAGGTGCCACCCTCAACTCCTCAACTCCCATCCTCACATCCTTTCTCCTGCCTCCCGAGGGCTCACATCCACCTAATCATTCCTGCTGCCAAGCAAGCCACTCTCCCTGCCCTTGGCTTCCCCTGGCAGCAGCCTCTGCCAGAGGGAAGGGCACTGCTTGCCGGTGTGCCTGACAATCCCCATTCCCCACACAGCCGTGTGAGCGTGGGCAGTGAGGGAAGGTGGAGCTCAGAGGATGCCATGTCTCAAATATCCATCCAGCATCCAGGCATGCCTGGCCAGACCTTCCTTCCCTCCCTTCCTCCTTCTTTCCTTCCTCTCCTTCTTCTCACAATTTGATTGGTTTCCTAGGTGTGTTTAGTTAGTGAAAACTCATCAAGCTGTAAATTAGAACATGTTCATTTTCATATATACATGTAATGTATATATGTTATTCTTGAAATAAAAATGATACATTTTAAATTACTATATGCCAAAATATGACAAATTAAATGAACAAATTCCTAGAAACATACAATTTATCACTACACAAGAAGGAATAGAATATCTGAATAGCCCTACATCTTTTAAATAAATTGAATTTGTTGTTAAAACCTTTACTCTCTCTCTCTCTCTCTCTCTCTCACACACACACACACACACACACACACACACACACCTGTGAAGCCATCACCACAAGCAAGACAGTGAATAATCCATCATCCCCAAAGTTTCCTCCTGCCCTACAGATATGATGTTGATGTGGGTGGCGGGGGAGACGGAGGGAGGAAAGGGAGGAATTGGTAAAGGGACACAAAAATCAAATTCAAAAAAGAGAAACAAACAAACAAAGTATCCTCCTGCCCTTTTGTAATCCCTCCCACCTTCCCTCACCCTGTCCCCATTCCCAAGCAGCCCCTGATCTGCTTTCTGTCATTATAGATTAATTTGCATTTTCTAGAGTTTTCGATCAATAGAAGCTTATGCTATGAACTCCTTTTTATCTGGATTCTTTCAACTCTGCATGATTATTCTGAGATTCATCCATGTTATTGCCTATATAAACAGTTCATTCCTTTTTACATTCCATTCCATTGTATGAATCTACCACAAATCATTTATCTACTCACCTGTTGATGGGCATGTGGTTGTTGCCATATTTGGGTGTTAGGAATAAAGCAATAATGGCCACTGATGCATAAGTCTTCGTACAGACAGAGGCTTTCATTTCTCCTGAGCAAATGCCTAGGAGTGGAATGACTGGATGGTACGGTATGTGTGTGTTTAACATACACACATACATAAATATTTTAATTGTGGTAAAAAACATGTAACAAAAAATTTACCTTCTTAACCATTTTTCAGTGTATAGTTCAGTAGCGTTAACTATATTCACATTCTTGTGCAACAGATCTCTAGAATTTTTTCATCTCGAAAATTGAAACTCTACGCACATTGATCATGAACTCCCCCTCTCCTCCTCCTCCAGCCCCTGGCAACCCCCATTCTACTTTCTGTTTCTCTGAGTTTGACCACTTGAGATACCTCATATAAGTGGAATCGAACAGTATTTGTCCTTTTGCGACTGGCTTATTTCACTCAGCACAATATCTTCAAGGTTCAGCCATGTTGTAGCATGTGACAGGATTTCCTTCCTTTTTAAGGCTGAATAATGTTCCAATCTATGTATATACCACATTTTCTTCAGCCATTTAACTGTTGAAGGACACTTGGGTCGCTTCGACCTTTTGGCTATTGTTAATAATGTGGCAATGAACATGGGGGTGTAAATATCTCTTTCATAATCCTGTTTTCAATTCTTTCGGATCTATAACCAGAATGTATGTTGGACTTTTTAAAGAAACTGGCAAATTGTTTTTCAAAGTGGTTGTATCATTTTACGTTCGTACCAGAAGTGTATGAGAGTTCCAGTTTCTCCCAATTCTCACCAACACTTGCTATGGTCGGTCTTTTTAATTTAAGCCATTCTAATAGGTGTGCTGGAATATCTTATTGTGGCTATAATTTGCATTTCCCTAATGACTAATGATGTTGAACATCTTTTCATCTGCTTATCTGCCATCCATATATCTTCTTTGGTGAAGTGTCTGTTCGACTCATTTGCCCATTTACCCCTTAGACCTTTAATAAGCTTTGTTTTTTAGAATAGTTTTGGATTTACAGAAAAATTGTGAAAATAGTACAGGGAGTTTCCATGTACAACATGCCCAGTTTTCCCTGTCATTAACGTCTCACATTTGTTAGATGTTAAAGTATGGTACATATATAATATGGTACATTTGTTACAATGAATGAACTGATATCGATACATTATTATTACCAAAGGCCCAAGTTTATTCAGATTTCCTTAGTTTTCACGAAATGTCCTTTTTCTGTTCTGATCCCATCTGGGACACCACATTACATTTAGTCGTCATGCCTCCTTAGGCTCCTCTTGTCTGTGACAGTTTCTCAGACTTTTCTTGTTTTTGATGACCTTGACAGATTTGAGTACTGGTCAGGTATTTTGTAGAATGTCCCTCAATTGGGGTTCGTCTGGGGTTATGGGTTTGGGAGGAAGACCGCAGAGGCCACTCTCACCACGTCATATCAAGGGTACATGCCATTGACATGAATTGTGCCTGCTGGTGTTGACATCACTTGGCTGAGGTAGAGTTTGCCAGGTTTCTCCACTGTAAACTTACCCTTTCTCCCCCTTTCCGCACTGTGCTCTTTGGAAGGAAGTCACTACGTGCAGCCACACTCAAGGGGTGGGGAGCTGGGCCCCACTTCCTTAAGGGCCAAGTATCTACCTACACTATTTGGAATTTTTCTGCATGGGAGCGCTCTCTCTTCTCCCTGATTTATTTACTTATTCAATCATTTGCTGTTATCAGTATGAACTCATGGGTAGTTTTTTTTTTATTTATTTTTATTTTTCCTTTTTTGTTGTTGTTTTTCTTTTTTTCTTTTTTTTTTCTTTTTTTCTCTTTTATTTGCTCTTTTGTTCATTTGGATATTTTATACTTTGGATTATTATTTGATACAACTTTATTTATTTTGTCCCTCAAACTGCTCCAGCTTTGGCCATTGGGGGCTCTTTCAGTTGTTTCTTTTACCTATTTTATTATTATTATTTTTTTTGTCTTTTTCCGTGTCCGGCAACGGATCGCAACCCTCAGTGTCACCCCCGTACCGGACCGGGACCGGCAAGGGATCGCAACCCTCGGTGCTGCGCCCGCACCTCGCTCAGCCAGTGAGCGGGAACCGGTCTGTAGGTGGGATCCAAACCCTCGGCGGGAGCGTGCCGCCGCGCTCCCAAGCGGCGCACTGTAGCAGTGCACCACCGGGCCGGCCCCTGCTTTAATCTTCTTAATGAGTATAGATGTTTATGCATTTTAAAAACACTGAACTTTTCTGGTTTATTTTTTCCAAGTTTTAAAAGAAATGTTTTTATAGGATAGGCACATTTTAAAAATGTAATTCTTTGACTAGGTAATAATATATTTTCATGTTACAGAATTCACAAACATAAAATGGCACACGGTGAAGTCTCCCTAGAACCCTCCTTCTGTTTCTCAGCACAGGTCTACCAACAGCCGTTAAATGTTATTAGTTTCTTGTCAGTCCTTTCATTCATATATGTAGTGTATATGATGAACATATATTGTGTAGATAAGTGTATGTGCCGCCGCGCTTCCCAAGCGGCGCACTATCCAGTGCGCCACCGGGCCGGCCCCTCTTTTACCTATTTTAAAAACTGAATTGTTTGTTTTCTTACTGAAGAACTTTTATATAGTTTAGATAAATGCCCTTTATCAGAAATATGATTTGCAAGTATTTTCTCCCAGCCTGATCTGTCTTTTCTTTTCTTTTAATCTGTCTTTCAAATTCCTTAACAGTATCTTCCAAAGAGAAGCTTTTAATTTTGATGTAATCATATTATTAATTTTTTTCCTGTATGGATCATGTTTTTGGTGTCTTACCTAAGAAATCCTTACCTTACTCAAAGTCACAGAGATTTTTCCTCCTATGTTTTCTTCTAGAAGTTTTATAGTTTTTTGGTTTTTCATTTGTCTATGATCTATTTTGAGTTAATATTTGGATATGGCTCAAGGTATAAATTGAAGGGGGTTTGGGGTTTGCTTTTTGTTATTATTTACTTGTGGCCATCCAATTGTCTCAGAATTATTTCTTGAAAATCCTATCCTCTCTCCATTGAGGTGGCTTTGCACATTTGACTAAAATCAACTGTCCGTGTATGTCACAGGTCTATTTCCAGATTCTTGTTTTGTGCCTTAATAGATTTCTCTACCTTTATGCCAATACCATACTGTCTCGATCACTGTAGCTTTCTAATAAATGTTGAAACCAGGTAGTGTTAGTCCTCCAGCTTTGTTCTTTTTCAGAGTTTTTTGGCTAGTCTAGGCCCTTTGTGTTTCCACATGATTCTTTCTACACCCTTCCAGGTGCAAGCCCCAGACACCTCTCTGCAGCCCCTTGATAGGTTCGCCTGGATCGCTGTTGCCTTTTCAATGAGTCTCTATGGCTGCAGTGATTGTGTTAAAACCATAGTCAGGTCATCACCTCCCTTGCCTACAAGTCATGACGTGAAAATGGATTCCACGAAAACCAAGGATCCTCACTGCTACCGATAGGCACAGGGATCAGAACCCTTGACCTTGGTGTTATCAGCACCACACTCTAACCAAGTGAGCTAACCAACCAGCCCCTCCAAAAGTGTGGAAATAGTTTTTACCCTTACTACATTCTGTTTCACACACACAATTAGAAACACTGAGAAGACTGGGTCTGTTTTATGGGCTCAGTTCTGAGAGCTCAGGCTTGGATGCAGAGAGAAAAAACTCTGGTTTGTGGTCTGGCCCCTGTGGCCTCCTCAGCCCCCTCCCCCACCACCCTTCAACCCCTCCTGCAGCCACACTGACCTTGCAGGCCCTCAGTCTTATAGCCTCGTGTTTGCTGTTTCCTCTGCAGAAATACTCCTCCCACCCCACCCTGACCATCCTGGGCCACTCACCCTTCAGATCTCAGCTCAATGTCACTCCCTTAGGGATGTTTTCCTCTCTCCTAGCACCATGGGCCTCTCTCCTAGCACTTGCCTCATGTATTAGTCCATTTATGTTGCTTATAACAAAGTACATGGAACTGGGTGATTTAGAAAGAAAATGAAATTTACTGCTTACAGTTTCTGAGGCTGGGAAGTCCGAAGTCCATCTGGTGGTGGTGACAGTGACCCAGGGATCTCACATTGTAAGATGCTGGAAGCAGAGAGAGCAGAGAGAGAGAGCAAGAGAGAGACATACTCTCTTCTTTTAAAGCCCTCAGAACCACACCCTGACCACCATTATTAATCCATTCACTACTGCACGGTCCTACCACCCAATCACCTCTTCAAGGCTCCACCTTTCATCACCATAATAGGATTTCCCACCCTCTTAACAGTCACAGTGGGGGCTAAGTTTCTAATACATAAAACTTGGGGGACACAATTCAAGTTTCAGTGAGTTTTGGGGGGACATAATTCAATCCACTACACCTCAGCTAAAACCTTAGATCATTCGGGTGGGCAGTGCCTGCCTCTCCGGCACCAGACTGTATGCTCCAAGAGGCCCGGAACTCTCATGTTTGTTCTCGCTCCCTGTAAATTCAAGTAAGTAAAGAAAGGCCATCAAAAAGCACAATCTTATTTATGAAAATGACTTGGGAAACCATTTTTTTGTGGACACTATGCTTGTGCAGGGGTTAGCAACATCACCTCTGACCCCATGCTGCTGTTCTTCCTAGATGCTGCTTACCTTAATTCTCCCTCCAAGAGAGTGATCTTCCCCCGGGTGGAAGTGTACTGCCAGATAGAAGTCGCCCTCGGCAATGAGTGCCCTGAACGCAGTCCACCAAGCTCCCGATCGGAGCAGGCCTGTCTGGAAGAACCCACACAGCTTCGCACACAGTGGGCTCCCGAAGGGGATGGACTTGATGGCCATGGCCCACCTGTGTCCCCTCCTGTACAGACACCTGACTCCACATGTGAGTGCCCTGTGGAGTCATCTGTTTCTCCACCTGTCTGTTCACTAGAGCAGTCACCTGCATCGCCACTGGCCTCATCACCGCCACGTTCTCTGACTGACTTGCCACCTGTGTCACCTACATCACTCTCAGCTGTGCACTTACCACCCAGCTCAACATCTAGCTCACCACTGCCCACCACACCATCTGGGCTGTCACCTGTGTCGCCTCAGCAGCAGGTACAACCACCTGGATCACCACCCAGATCCCCACCCTCCCAGGCATCCACATCACCCAGCCCATCCCTGGGACCTTCAGCTGTGGGGGCACCTCAAATATCGCCCCAAGGTTCTCCTTCGGCATCACCAGCACAGCCACCTGCAGAGGAACTGCACCCAGAACAGCCCCAAGGTATGGACCCTTCTGGCTTCTCCTGGCTTTCTCACGTCTGCAGCCCCTGCAAGTGTGTAACACCACCGTGGCTGATAACCACTGCCGTAGAGGGTCGGGCTGGTGAAGTTAGCATCCTTCGTAGCGGCTCTGCCTGTTATGAGGACAGGCCACCATAGGGGGCAGTGTGATCGACAGTTCATTCCTTGGGTGCAATGATTCTCGTGCTCCCCCAGCAGCAGCAACGGTGTCACCTGGGAGCTTGTTAGATATGGCACTTCTCAGGCCTTAGCACAGGCCACTAAATCATGAACTCTGGGGCTGGGGCCCAGCTGTCTTTTTTACAAGCCCTCCCGATGATTCCTTTCCCCCCTCACACTTGAGAACCACTGTTGCAGTAGATTTTTACTGTGAAAGCCACCGTGCGGGGCAGTGCCACTAAGAGTGGTCCGCAGACCAACCCAGCCCCCGAACTGTTTGTTAGTTCACGACGAGGTGAGTGCAGAGACTGAGGGTAAGGTTTAGAAACGCTTATAGCAATAACATACTGCCATGACATCCGTTTTTTCACTAATTTGTTTGAAATGCATTTCACAAAAGTGCTAGTCCGTTACGGATTGTAAATAATTTTTTTTTAAAGCTGGTTCTTCACTACAGATAGTTTGAGAAGCACCACTATAGGGGCCACAAGGAGGAAGCATTCTTGATCCTTACTCTCAGTAAATCTCTCCAGCAGAGGAGACGGCGTGGATACTGACCTCAAAAATACAAGTACTAAGTACTACGTAACTAACAAAAACAGAGTGTGGGAGGGTATTCATGGAGAATAAGGTCACTTCTCTCTGGTGGAATAGGAAAGCCTTCTTGGGAGTAACAAGTGGGCTAAAGTGGGCAGAATTTTGGCAATAGTGGTGGTGGGATCGGATGGGATGAAGTAGAAAGAGCAATTAGGATTTCGTTTATTCAAGAGGCTCAGGTGCAGAGCAGGACACTCAGGATGGCACACTCAGAATGAAGAGGATCTGTGTGCCACCACTGTGCGGGAGACCCCAATGATGGGCTGAAGCCAGGTTGTACAGTCCTCACGGTCCATTCAGCCAAACTTCCATATTGTTAGGGTAAACACACGATGAAGAGGATCTGTGTGCCACCACTGTGCGGGAGACCCCAATGATGGGCTGAACCCAGGTTGTACAGTCCTCACGGTCCATTCAGCCAAACTTCCATATTGTTAGGGTAAACACACATTAGCAAGATTTCCTTCTTTGGGGGTCTGCCCCAAGTCAGAGGTGACCTCTTTCTCTGGAGTAGGCTTACTTTGATTCTTTTAATCACAATGAGACAAAAACATCAGGGTATTAAGAGTCAGAAAATTGGTCAAAGTGTTATACATGCTGTCTTATTTCCTGTTAAATGCAATGTGTTTGTTTTATATTATTCACACCTGTGCATGAAGGTGGACATCTTCAGGAGCCTGAGCAATCTCAGGCCCTGGGTTGGCATTCCTCACTCATATTGGGGGTGGACAGAGGGCACATATAGCCCAGTGGTTTTCAACTGGGAGTGATTTTACCCCCAAGAGACATTTAGCAATGTTTGTAGACATTTTTGGTTGTCACCTAGTGGGTGAAGCCCAGGGATGCTGCTAAATATCCTACAATGCACAGGACAGCCCCCACAACGAAGAATTATCTAACCCTTAATGTCAATAGTACTGAGGTTAGGAAACCCTGTTATAGCCTACAGCTGAGCCTCAACAGTGACATCCTAAGCCATCTATGACAACAAGGCAGATCAGAGCTTCCCCAGGGTTTAGAGGTATCAGTCATTTAGTGATGGCCATGGTGGTATTGGGGGACTGGAGAATTGCAAAAAGCCCCAGGAAAATCCATAAACAAAGGGACAAGCCTCACTGCAAGTAGATTTGGAAGATCTAGGATATCCAACAGGTCCCTAACAAAAGAACTTCAGGTGGGGGAATCTAAGTATATTTTCTATTACTTTTACTTACATATATTACATTATTATGTATTTTCTTCTTATATTATGTATCCTCATAGTCTTTGAAAACATGCAAATAGCTTACTTAAGAACAATGATCCTAAAACTATTAATATTCTCTATTCCAAGGCAAAAGAAAAAAGCATTACATGACGCCTGTGATGGCAAGTTCAGACCCCTCCAGGGGATTTTCCTGAAAACTCCCCCTAACATGCTGCTTTCTGTGAGAGAATTGTTTCTAATATGTCAAGGGCCAGCACCAGCCCTTCTGCAGATGCTGCAGCTCTGGGTCTCAATCAAATCCAACAACATGATTCTGGTCCTAAATATGAGAATTTGAGACAAGAGAGTTCTTTACTGCTGTTGAACATCTTCACTTGCTTACCATCGTTATTCCAAAATGACTGGGTATACGCCCTTCCCCCACCTCTCTCACGTCTCCTCTGTTTCTACTTTTGGCTGTAGCTCCCTTTGCCTCTTCAAATCCGAAAAGCACCGCTCCTCCAGTTAATGTGAAGGAAGCCATCAGCAAGTCTCACGTAATGTAAGTTTCTCCTTCACTGGGAACGTGTTCTTTCCTTTGCTCAGGGGAAGGGAGCCCAGCTAAGTGATGTTTTCCATCTCTTTAGCTGCCCTAGGAACACTGGGAGTCTTTTCTAGACTGTGTGATTACAATCCACCCCTTTACATCTCATGACACCTCCCCGCCCCCACCTTCTTCAATGAGGGTGTGTGTGGGAATGAGCCTGTTGTGTTGACGATGTCATTCTCTTCAGTTCTCTCCTGTGCTTGCTGGCAGTGCACCTGTGCACCTCCCGCCCAGCCCGCTGCCCTTGTATTTTACTCTCTGGTGATGCTGCAGTACAAGAGGGCTAGCAGGCATCCTACATCCTAGCCTCCTGCATGGTATGAATTAAGGGACTCTATCAAAATATCCAAGTTATTTTCTACTTGCATGATAAAGACCTAATATTTCTTTGTTATAGATTGTCCTGAGAACATCTTTTTTATAATGCAATCAATTGTCTGGGTTGTGTAACATATCCTCCAAAATTATCTTTGCAGTAATTATGAGAGGGCCTGGGGATCTATATTTTCTTAAACTTCCCAGGGAACTGCATTACAAAGACTCCCTTGCTGGCTGGATGCTGGTTGGGTCATCCAGTGGAAGGCACCAGCAAGAGATCAGAGGGCAGTGAAGGGTGTTTCTCCTTGCACCCCCAACCTCCACCCTCATTCCTCTCTGCCTTGGGGCAGCTCTGGCAGTGGCTGGGCTTTTCCTAGGCCACAGGGGCAGGTATTGGGAAAGCAGAGCCTGAGGCATTTTTACTTTTGCTGTTTGTACCATATATCATATCAGACTTGTTATAATTCACCTGCTTCCTACATTAAGTATAATTTTAACTATAAAGCTTTTTGAAAGCTTTTGTATAAATTTAATAGTTTTGAGCTTAGGCATGGGTTATGCATTTTGTTTACATGGTTTAAACTTTTTTGCATTTACAAAAGCTTGAGTTTCAGTTGACTGGTTGGCATAATGTTACTTATATAGATATTGATTGATTACAAAAAGAAGTTGGCTGGGGAACTCCGATGCTCAGCCAGGGTTGAGAACCACAGCACTGGTGTGTGCACCTGCAGAGCTGGAGCAGGCCCTGATACTGGAGGACACAGAACAGGTCATTAACAAACCACCTCCTTCATCTCTTTGCCCAGGGAGAGGCCTACTGAAGACTCGAACTCTGTGAATAAGGTATTCAAGAAGAACAAACAAAAGACAAGTGGCACCAGAAAAGCCTTCTCAAGACATTTGCGATCCAAAAAACCAAGCAGCAAAGTGCAGTGAGCATGACTAATGTTTCTTAAATCCTACAGGGAGGAGCAGCTTTGGGAACAGTCTGTGGGGATATTCCAAGGAAAGAGGGGGAATCAGTAAGGAGGGGGTTGGGAGCTTGGGCTTTGGAGTCAGACACACACGACATAAAATCTCTACTACTCTGCCACAATCTCACCAGTGATCATGGTTAGGACACTTGGTCTCTCTGAGCCTCCATTTCCTGATCTATAAAATGGGAATTGTAGTAACTCATAAGGTTGTAAGAGTTTAACGTGACCAACCATGTGAATTGCTTCATAGAGTGCAGGATGTGTGATAGCACTCAATAGTCAGTAGGTATTATGTTTACATGGCTCCCAGAGGTTAACTAGCTACTTTTCAGCTTCTGAATAGACTTCACTTGAAACCAAACCAGACACGCGGGAGCCTACATGACCCTCAACATATAAAACCCCAAACCGCTGCCAATGTACAGCTAAGAGCTCTAATCAACATAGGCCTACTTCTTACAGATTTCTATGTCGTCATCAATTTAATTAGTCAGCTTTTGCTGAGCATCCACTAAGTGCCAAGCACTCTCCTGGGCTCTGGTGATATCAAAGATGAATTAAATTCAATCCCCAACTTTCAACAGTTTACCCCAAATTGAACTTTAGACCAAAGACAAAAATAAAACCTACTAATTTGCTGAACTTTTAACACCATTTAAACCAATTTTTAATTTTTTTACCAAACCATAACATTTTTATTAAAGGCACATGTGTATATACATAAACACTCACAGATTCAAAATGCCAGCCTCAAACACAAACCAAGCTGAGTATTATCTACAATTTTTTCACTGGATTATCAAAGTATTCTCTGAATGGAAAAGATGCATACTGCTATTTAATTTGCTTCAAGCCTTTATTGGTCAGAAAAATCCCTAAGTCATTCTAAGCAACATCCTTCCTGGTTGCTCCTGTCCCAGGTGGGGGTCCCTGGGTAGGCACTGGGATTTATTAGATAGATGAGGGTCAGAGATTCACCTTCGTGGACAAAAGCCCACTTCGGAGCCTGGGCAAGTGCATGGTTGGTGGGTGGTAAGAAGCAGTGTGGTGGGGAAGAGATTTTCAGAGCTGTTGCAGGAAGTGGGGCAATCCCATGTGTCCCTTTCTGGACTAAAGGATGGGCAGGAAGGGTGCAGGACCCAGCTGGCAGTTGGAAGTCCTTGGAGCCATGAGATCAGTGCAGCCTGGGATTATTCTTACTCTGTTCCTTGGTCTCCCGCCCCAAGACTTGCCTTTCCTTTGAGTGTCCATCTCTCTGTCTCTAGGAGCTCAGGGTCACGTTCATCCATGGGAACTTAGGCAGGTCTGCCGTGGGTGTGGGGAGCCTCCCTGGGGCTAGGAGTGTCATCTGGGGAGGATCAGTTGTCTTGCTACTACAGCAGAGCAGTGGGAACTATGTGAATCAGCCAGAGCCACCTTGGTTGATGAACCTTCTAGGAATGAAGGTGCTTTATAAAGAAGCAGGCTGTGATAAAAAACAAACAGTCATCAACTGTGGGAACACTGTTGCCAGTGGGCCACACATTCTGCACTAGGCAGGTGGTTGTTTGCTGTGTTCCTTTACAGAACAGATGATGGAGCTGCCTGGAGGCAACTAGCAATTGATGATCTTAAGCAATTCCAGGCAAATTCACTGCTTTGAGCTTAAAAGGCCAGGGTAAGGGGTCGAAAAGACAAGCTTAAAACTGTTAGGAATAGGGAAGGGGGAGGGATCCAGGAAGAGGAGAAATCTGCTCATTTCCTCCTAGACTGCAATCATAAGACACACTGTCACAACTGTGCGCTAGTCCTGTGCAAATACCTGGCGCCCAGCTGATATCGCTGCCAACAAAGAGGAGAGAGGTTAGACTAAGAGCTAAAGGGTAGATGCTCCATACGTGGATCAGTGGTGGTGCTGTTTTCAATCAGAGGTTCAAATTCATACTTTGACGCAGTTTCTATTAATCAGTTGTTGCTGCTATTACAACAGTGCACAATAAACAACCCCCCAAACTCAGTGGATCATAACACCAAACATTTATTGTTCTCCTTCATGGGTCTGTGGTTGGCTGGGGGAGCCCTGCTTAGGCTACAGGTTGGCGTCAGGTCTGCTCCACTTCCCTTTCATTTCAGGACCGGAAGTTACACTAGACATGCTCTTCTCCTGGAGCTCAGCTGGGTATATGCAACAGCCCAGCTTTCCTCTGCTGGCCTTGCCTCTCCTCCTATAAGGGTTTAGTGGTCATCTGACTCTGGATTGTGTAACTGGCCTCAAAGTGGAGAAACAGACTGAGAAATTGAGAGGCTGCCTACAGGCTACAAATGGAAAAGGAGGAGACCTGTCCTGCCCCCAAATCCTCCTGTCAGACTCCCCAAATTTCCACCATGAGAAAGCCCCTGCTTTGGATTGCTATGGAATTTCCCCCTATTCAGATGTGAATGTAACAAAAGCTAAAACTTACATAGCACAGTTTTCTCTTGGTATCTGCAGGGGATTGGTTCCAGGACCCCCAGTGGATGCCCAAATCTGGGGATACTCATTTCCTTATATGATATGGTATGATATTTGCATATAACCTATGCACATCCTCCCATACACTTTAAATCATCTTTAGGTTACTTATAATACCTATTACAATGTAAATATATGTAAATAGTTATAGTGTATTGTTTAGGGAAGAATAACAAGAAAAAAATGTACAATTTTTTTTCAAATATTTTCAATCTGTGAGTGGTTGAGTCCACAGAGGCAGAACCCACAGATACAGAGGGCTGACAGTACTTCTTATGTTCCAGACACTGTGGCACAGAGAGGTTAAGTAAGATGCCCAAAGTCACATAGCTGGTAGGTGACAGACCCAATCCAGGCTTTCTGTCACCAGTGTCTTGGAGTTGACCACTAAGTGATATAGCCTCCCAGGGTAATGAGAGCACTGGAGTGGGAGTCAGAAGTCATAGGATTTAGCCCTAGTTTCTCCATTTGGGAAAGTCACTTTACTTAATGGGAGTTTCAGTTTCCCCCTATAACATCTACCCTGCCTTCCTCCCATGGTTACTTGGGGCTTCAATGAGAAGCTGAATGTGCAAGCATCCTACGTAATTCTGGGGAACAAAGATAAGTCAGGTCCTTATGACTGGTGCTCAGGCTGGTGTGGGACACTTGGGTGGGTCCCAGGGCAACTTGCGAACCTGAGGCACCAAGAAAAAGGAGCAGAAACAAATCAACTACTTTGTGACTCTGGGCAGGGTAATCCCTATATTAGTCCAATATAAGTGTCACTTAAAGGAGACATCCATATAGTTTTTGCTTTATACCTGCATTCCTTATAGGATGAGCAATTCTATTTCTTTGTCTAGTCTTAAAACCAACATGTACCCATTACAAAAAAAAAAAAATCTAAAAATTTAGAAAAGCATGAATAGAAAGTAAAAATTGCTGGAAATCCCACCACCCATATGTTAAAATTTTGGTGAATACCCTTCCATATTTTCCAAGCATACACTGATTTTTTATTTTTATGAAAATGGTATCATAAGATACATATTATTTTGTAGCCTGCTTTTTAACTAAATAGTGTATCATAACTTCTTTCCATGTCAAATATGAATTTATCAAGTTTAGAATGGATCCATAGTACTCTGACTGTGTGGATATATAGTTATTTAATCAATCCCCTGCCAATGGACATTTAGGTTGTTTCCAACTTTTTGCTATTATTAACATTGCTATGTTAAATATCCCCATAAACGCATCCTTGTATACATGCCCAGGTGTCCCCTCGGCATAAATTTTTAGAACTGGAATTGCTGAGTCAAAAGGTATGTGCTTTGGAGGAAGTTTTTTTTTTTTTTTTTTTTTTTGTCTTTTTGTCTTTTTTCCGTGTCCGGCAACGGATCGCAACCCTCAGTGTTGCCCCCGTACCGGACCGGGGACCGGCAACGGGATTGCAACCCTCGGTGTTGCTCCCACGCCTCGCTCGGCCAGTGAGCGGGAACCGGTCTACACGTGGGATCCGAACCCTCGGGCGGGAGCGCCGCCACGCTTCCCAAGCGGCGCACTATCCAGTGCGCCACCGGGCCGGCCCTTGGAGGAAGTTTTGATGCATGTTGCCGAATTGTCCTCAAAAGGACTATACTGCTTTCCACTTCCACCAGCACATGACCTGGAGGGTGGATTTCCCCACACACTCATTCACCAGCATTAGGCATCACAGGCCCGCCGTCCCGTATCTGCAGTTCTGAAATTGAAGAAGCTCTGAAAAAACAAAAATGTATATAGTCACTCTTTTGATGGCAAAAACCTCACCTATAAAGACATGAGGCAATTTATGGTCATTACTTATCCCATTTAGTATGAATTTTCATATACTTTCCTGCAGAAATGGTAATATGTCTTATTGTGGGTTGCTCCCCAGGCCCCAGAGGGGGAGTTACATAACATATGGCAAACGCACTTTATCTTTCTAAAACTTGAAAAAGTCTGAATTCCAAAACACATCTGCCCCCAAATGCTTTAGATAAGAGATTGCAGACTTGTCTCATTCTCTTTTATTTCAAACCAATTGGTGAAAACTCAAATTTTCCCTGAAATATCCAGCCAATCATCTGAATGCAACTTATTAAGCAACCCATTTTTTTCCTACTGATTTTAAACATTACCTGTATTATATACTGACTTTTCATTAGCATCTGGACATCAGTAGCACAGGGTTTTAATCACTGAGATCTTTATGAGTTCTAATGTCTGGTAAGCCAGGAAATGTATTTCTGATAGGATTAGGATTCAAAACAAACAAACTTGAACTGATATCACGTGCCAGTTCTGTTTCACATTTAATTACCTTTATACCCTCTGAGGTAGCTTGGGGAAGTGAAGGCACCAACAAAATCACACAGCAGAACCCCATGTGCAATGAAATAGTCCAGGGCATTGCTTCACTCTGGACGAAGTTAGAAGGCACCTACAGCACAAAACCTAAC